TTCCTGCTGTCCAGAGAAACTGCGAGTGTGATCCTTCCCAGCAAGGGCAGTGTGCTCAGGGACTTGCCCTTAGTTTCAGTTCTGATTAAATCTTCTTACTAAACTGCCTCTCATCTGCTTTACGTGTCCTCTGTGTTTGCTCACGGACTTGCCTATGGATGGAAACGTGTCGTCTTCTGTCCCAGCTTCCCCAGAAAGAAGATGAATATTGTACGCACAGTCTTCACTGAGCATGTTGTAATGGAAAATGCAGGCAGGGAGGAGGAGCAGCTGGCACATAAGGTGATTATAGGTGGAAATAAGGTGATTACAGGTGAAAATAAGGTGATTATAGGTGGAAATAGGAGCAGTTTCCATTCTCATGGGGGAACATATTTTGCATATTCATAAATGAGAACGGCTTTCTCCTTCAAGTCTTAGACAAAGCGTGTAAGCAAAGAGCTCTTCTGATGTTAATGGGAAAAATCATATTTACATCCCAAATGTAGATGTCAAATGCTTATATTTTATCTTTCCACAACTGAGCTGATGAGATGGAATGTGCAGGTAACTTTGGAGGAGCTTTTCTACGTGTGTCCCACAGATTTTTGTCACAAGACTACCTGTCAGAGCGCAGAACCAGCCCAAATGAGGAGTTATATCTGAATTTTTGCTTGATGTGAAGGGTGGAGAGGGAACCAAACTGCCATCCTGGTTTAGGTTTTTTGGAGAGGCTCCTGGATATTAATTTGCTGGTGGAGCAGGATGCTTTTCATGTGATCTGTTGGCCGCTTTGTGCTGGATATTTCTAGGAGGCCCCAGTCCAACATAAGATTTTCATGTGTTATTAACCATAAACTGTGAGGACTTAGAGTTGAGTAAATATCTAAATGATTTCCTGATTTAGATAATATCATGGAAAATCTTTGCAGCACTGTAGCTAAAAGGTGCAGCACAAATTATTTTTCTTTCCCCTCGTGTTAAGGCCTGAGTTTATTTAAACTTCTCTTCCACAAATTTTGAGGGTTGATATATGAATTTCAGGAGGTGATGGAAATTGAAATTTAATTTACAATAGTTTTACAATTTTTCATGAAGTGATACATGCACTCATAGCAAAAAAAAAAAACCCCCAAAAAAGAGAAGTTAGACCACACTTAGAAGCAATTACACATCAGGAAGGTAAGAGAAAAGATTTCACATCTTTTCACTTTCAAGCTAAACAAAGGAAAATAATTTGCTGCAAGTGATTCCAGACTATAATAGAAATAGTTAAAACTATTAATTTAATGTAATGTTTTCATTGCAGGAGCCTGAATTCTGGTCACTGTTACCATATCACACAATGGTTCTGTTGTCCTCGTAATCCTCTTCATTCCAGCGGGAGCAAGGTACCCATCAATACAGTTATGGGCATCAGAATCTAGCCCTGAAACCTAAAAATGTGGGAAAGCACATTATGATAGGAAAATATGAAAACATGTCAATAAGCATCTGATCAAATGGTCCTCGCGTCAGAAGGTGGTTCAATAATGTCAATGGCCATTACCAGGGGACAACACGTGTTCTGTTATTGTAGGACTTTGGAAAAACATTTTCTCTTTGGCTTTTTGTTTATTTATAACTAATATATAATGAACAGAGATCCCAGAATCCCAGAGTGGTGGGGTTGGAAGGGACCTCAGGAGATCATCCAGTCCAACCCCCCTGCCAAAGCAGGTCCATCTCCAGCAGGTTGCACACGATGGTGTCCAGGTGGGTTTGGATCTCTCCAGAGAAGGAGACTCCACACTCTCTCTGGGCAGCCTGTCCCAGGGCTCTGGCACCCTCACAGGGAAGAAATTTTTGCAAAGAGCCTTTTGTTGTCCTTGCACAGCTCTGGGTGCAGCCAACCAGTCATTACGCTGAGAAGGACAATGGAGCTTTTAGGGAGATGTGGAGCTTCTTGCAGGGCTACAACCATCATTCCAGAGGAGCAGAGAAGAAAGTGAGTGAAACAGGTTCAGTTAAAAACTCTGCACAGGGTGCTGGCTTGGGATCTTCTCACCCCTGTTAACACTTCTTTTATCCCTTTTTCTGAAGAACCAAAGTGTGTTATGCTCTGTTCAGAGGTTTGCTGAGGAGTTCAGGTAAATGAGGAGGCATGCAAGTCTTTTGCTTCACCTAGTTACTGTTGCTTAGTCCTTAAGGTCCTGATTTTCTAAGTTAACTTCATGGGGAAAATGGAGCATGTTTTAATGTCATCCTCCCCGTTGACCTTCCTCAAATACTGTCCCAACTCTGCTGGTTTTTTTTTTCTGGTTCCATTATCCAATAGATATCGATTCTACACACAAAACCATTTTCCAGAGAGTGCTGTTGAGCTCAGAGCTGCAGGTCTTTTTTTTCCATCCAAGATGCAAACATTTCATTTTTTGGCATAAATAAGCAAACATTAACTTTCTTGCCTTTTTCCCCTGAAAACAGCAAAAAATCAAATTGTGGTTTGCTTGGGGCAAGGGGAATGGGATGTTGGCAAAACTCCTTTTCCATGCTGCCAAACTGGAACGAGTCTTCAAACCCCAACGTCCAGCAGCAAATATTTCA